ATTTCCAGTTTAAGGCCCAGAAGACTTGCTAGATTTCTCAAATGTAACAATTTGTCTGGCAGTTACAGTTGCACAGGAATCTTACAGTGGTTCTTTGTCAGATATCTGGACAGATATTTGGGGTGTGACTTGAGAGTCAGCCAGTGAAAACTGTGTAGAATCCTCAAGTGTTAGGGATACTGATATTTCACCAGGGAATGTTTATACAGGCTGCTAAAGAAAGTGAGGCAGTGCCCAAAGCAGCACAGCTTGCTTTGCTTTCAGAGTCCTGTTTAGAACAGGGAATATTTTTAGCCAATATAATTGTACTAATGCCTAATCATCATAACTTGCAAAGAGGAAGATTGCATATGTATTCCCAGAATGGTTTTGGAAAACAAACCAACCAAAAAATAAACCCAACAGTGACTGTCTTCTCAGCAGGTCTAGTTTGATGAAATATATAAGTTGCAAAATTTTACATCCTCCAGTCTTCTGAAACAACAGATTTGTTCATATTCTGTAGCTCAGCAGAGTGAGTGTGCTGTTTCTGGCATTGGTTAGCACCAGCTTTACCATAAAGTAAGTAAGCTTTCCAATTTATAATTTTTATTATTTGCCAAGAGAAGAGCTTTTCTTTCTCCTAAACACTGCCAGCTCATGTTTGAGTTACCTGAAAGCATGTCTGTGATTTTTAATTTTTATAGTTATTAGTATTTTGATCTTCTGTGTAATGTCTCATTTTTATACCTTTTAGGCTTTCCAGTATCATGTCTTAATGAATTCTGTTTAATTGTACCAAGTTTAAGAAGTAATAGTCCTTGTATCAGTTTTAAAAGGTATTGGCTTGATTTCATTGTAATCTGCTTGCTTAAGTGGTTTTGTGTCAGTCATCTTCTATATGAAACACTTAGGATATTCAGAAACTCCTACTGCAGCTGAACACAAAGTACAGTTGGTTGAGTTGGAAGAGCACCAGAATGTCCTGTAGCTCCATTGCATTACTCTTATCTTTATAAAATATATTCTATTGATGGACTCAGAAGCATGGATAGGAAATTACTATTATTAAAATGCTGCACACGGTTTTACCAAACTAATTTTATATTATCTTTTTCATTGCAGCAAATGCTGTGGTTTGTAGGAATACACTACAGAACATTTCTATACATTTATATATGTTTAGCTGCTCATAGGAAAGGGCTTTTGTTGGAAGTAGTGAGCTACTCCTTGCTGTTTGCCTTACTTTTCCATGAGCAGAAACACAGCATGTCTTCTTGCAATTTAAGGTAATATTCACATATGTTAGTTATTAGTGGTTGCTGTTACTATGATTTCTATTAATGAAAAGAGAGAGCATTAATTCTCTTTTAGATTTCTGTAAGGGCCATATTTTCTGTTATTTAGGGGTCAAAGATCCACTTGAGCTGGAAAAAGGGTGAGGAAAAACTGCTTAGCATTTTCAGTCATCAGGAGGAAACAAAAACAGTTACAAATCCAGGTTACCCTTCTGAAAGGCAGTGAAGTCCTGCTGTTTTCCCTTGTTACTCATTTGAAAAGTTCAAAACCTTTCTTTAATTTAAAAGAAAAGATGATTACTTGTACATATGAGGGTGTTATTACAAACCTGTATTTTTAAATAGGTTCAGCAACGTTAAACCATTAGATTACAAAAAGCAGCATTTCCATTGTTTGACCTATGGTTCCTTTTATTAAATCCAGTCTACGTAGAGTGTGTTAAAATTGTTTTGCATTTATGTAGATTATTTTTATATTGTCATTCCTTAGTCCTTAGTCCATTTACAGCAAGTGCAGCTGCTCATTGAAATGATGTTTTTTCCTATTTTGGTGAAATCTGTTTTGTTTTTAAAGAAATTGCATAAAGGAGGCTTTTTCCCATTCTTACCCAGATTGTTGCTCATGCCTACTTTGAGAAGAGAGACAGGAGAAGAGAACCAAAACCACTACCAGAATGTGACTTAAATCAGGAAAAACTTTGGGAGGCTCTAAGATGTTAAAAAAAAAAAGGCTAGATATGACTCTGAAGTGTAGCTTTTATTAACCCAGTAGTATTTCTGGCCTCATGTGGCATGATTTTATATCACACAGAAGAACTTAAGCTGTGGGGAAGGCCACAAAAATGATCAGAGGGCTGGAGCACCTCTCCTGTGAGGAAAAGCTGAGAGAGCTGGGGTTGTTCAGCCTGGAGAAGAGAAGGTTTCAGGGAGAGCTTAATGCAGCCTTTTTGTATTTAGGGACTTTTAAGAATGATGGGGCAGCCTTTTTAACAGGATGAGGAGCAGTGGTTTTAAACTAAGAGAGGGTAGAGGCAGACTAGGTATAAGGAAGAATTTCTTTACAATGAAGTTGGTGTAACACTGGCACAGGTTGCCCAGAGAGATGGTAGGTGCCCCATCCCTGGAAACATTCAAAGTCAGGTTGGATGAGGCCCTGAGCAACCTGATCTAGTTGAAAGTGTCTCTGCTCATCGCAGAGGGTTTGGACCAAATGAGCTTTAAAGGTCCCTTCAACCCAAAGTATTCTATAATTCTATGAAAATGTTAAATGTGTTCTGTGGACTGAATGTATTTAATTCTCAGAGGCAATACAGGCCACTTCAGCACCACAGAATTATTTCCAGTTAGGCAGCTTCACAAATTTAATGAACCTAGGAAATGAGCAGTCATTAACAAAAGGTAAAAAGGACTTCAGAGATGCGTTTGAATAACATGATCCCATTTCTCTGGGTTCTCTCTTGTGTAATTTTGAGTAAAAATGAAAGGTCTGAAAAGAAAAGATCCTGAAAACCTAGTTCTTTTGAAAGTTCTGAGCTAGTATGGCCTCTGCCACCTGGCACAGCCTCATATGGAGCTGTGGGAACTGCTGTGTTATGGTTGGTGAGTGATCTCAGGAAGGGTTGCAAGGTGAATGGGGTCATATGGGAGAGGTAAACTCTATGTCTGCTTATTGTAAAGTACCTGTAATCAGGAGAATCTTCAACTGGGCATGTTTTCCTGGATTTTCTTTGTATAAAGGAAGTGGGTTTGTTTCTGGTATATGTATTTTTTCCCCTTGTTGTTTGTTTGGGTTTTGGTTGTTTGTTTGCTTTGGTTTTTCATTGGGTTTTTTGTTCCTTTGTTGTTGGTGCTGTTTTTAAAGTGGAAATGACACACGTAAGCATAATTTCATACCAGGTAGTTCTTCTGGTTAACATCAATGGTTTACAGAAATGATACTAATTTTGCAAGGCTTCCAGGCTTAGCATTTATGTTCTCTGTGTCTGAAACAGAAGTCCAACACACAGTGAATCCAAGTTAATGCACCTGCCCACAGACATGTTTGTTTCCCATGTGAATAGCTGGACTGACAGGATATTGGGTTGAATTAAAGAAGTTTCTATAGGTTAAGCTCTCAGGTAATTTCTGGATCAAGCACTGTTCAGGTACTGTGAGAGCTGAGCCTCCTGGGATCAAAATATTTAAAAGAGTGACATCAAACCCACTCTTGAGCTAATCAAAAGCTTTTATTCCTTCTGCAGACTCTTAGTGTTGTGTTTTTAGCAATGGAACTCTGTTTAGGCCCTAAACAGATTCAAAAGAACATAGCTGTGTAACTAGTGACTTAAGGTTAGTTTTATCAGGGGTGAATTTGACTCAGCATTTTATCTATGTTGTATACTTCATTGACTCATTTATTGAATGCAGCAGCTCTCAGAGAATTAGCTGGGAACAGAACTGTAGAATGCTTGCTTCAAATACTGATTTCCACCTGGCTTCGTTAGTAAATAACAGGTTTGTTTTACTGTTGTTTCCTAAATAACTGGTGGAAAAGCTCAAGAAAAATAGAAGTCAGTATTTTAAATTTAAAGCCCATTCTGATTAAAGGAGAGAGCTTGGCTTGTCCACCTTTGCCAATTAGAAGCTGAAGTGGAAAACCTCAGCAAGAGCTGAGATTCTTACTCCTCTAAGGGACTGAAGTACCAAGGGAAGCCAAAAGCCAAAACATACATAAACTATGTCAAAGCTATTCCTCCCAGTGGGTATTTCCATCCTCAGTTAGCCTGCTAAAAGCTTTCTTTTTCTTCAACACTTGTCCTTCTCTTCCTTGGCCCTGATTTTCTTAAGTGATAAATACATTCCTAGCCAGCTCCCCATTCATTTCTCTCCCAGCAACCACATGGTATATATATTCACATTGTGTCTTTTAGCAAAACAGATATAGAATCACAGATAGCACTGTGACAAATAGAAAAAGTGCAAGGCTGAGGAACAACACTCTGGAAGATGAGTCAAAATGTATGGAGTTTATGGATTAATAGAAATTAGAACTTGAATACTTTGTCGGCCAGGAGTCTTAAATTAGATTATTAAAGCACTTTCTTAAGTTATTACACTATAAAAACAGTTAAACCAAATTAATTTTGAGCAGTAAGAGTGTCTGATTAGAAATATAGCACAGTTTGACTGGTTATTTGAAAAGATAATTAAGATTACTTTTTCCATGTAGGGGGAAATATAACCTACATAGAAACAACAGAGGACTTAAGCAGAGCAGTTCACCTCATATAGGTAAATAAGGACTAAAGCTGTCTGCCTTTAAAGTGGAGTGAAACAATTGTCATATTCTGTGATCTTTATAACTGTTATCCTTTTTCAGTACTCTAAGCTGTGTTTCTGTCTCACTTTTCATGGCAATCAGAACCCATAAGGGATTGATTTTCAAGTAGAGTATGTACAGGGAAAAAAAAAGCTTATTCTGGTAATGCTGACTTTTGCAGAAAGGAAAACACTGCTTCTGCATAAATGTTAGTGACATAGGCCGCAGTGCTTGGGTATATTAACAATTTGAGCTTTATTTTCTGTAACTTTTGCCTTTTTGTTCTGTGTTTTTGCATTTTCCTGACTTGCCTTTTCCTCATGAACAAAATATACAGCTTTCTGATTTTCATATTTTTGCCCTTCAGATCAATAGTAAAGACATAATGTGCTTTTGTTTCTTTAACAGCAGATTTGAGCGGTATCCTTTATGTCTCTATTTTCCAAGGAAGGACCATGGATGCTATTAATTTCTTCAGTGTAAGCATTGTTTTCCAGGAAGTAGATAATGAAGTTCGGTAGAAACAGGTGGAGTCACATCAGTTGACTAAAACAAGGAAGAACTCATACAAAGCTAGATCATATTGTGGGTAATCTCATCCATCCTCCTACCCAGGATCGACCAACATTATACTTTTCCTGTTTAACACACAACTGTATCCACAGATAATGCATTGCCAAGAGGGTCACCTGCTGAAAAGATACTTTCTTTAAGAAGAGTACACTTCAAAGGGACTGACAGTGCTTTGCAGAGTGAATGGTGAGCAGCAGCACAGCATGAACAGGCACAGCAAAGAGAGGTGCCAGGAACAGTTACACTCCAGTTTCATTGACTGGAGGTGAACTCAGGGTGCAGAGTGCTCCCTTCTAACAGCTTTTTTTTTTTTTGCTGTATTGTGTTAGCAAAAGTTGCAAAGCAGTAGAAGCCAACTTACAGAAGACAGATTTTATCTGTAACAAGCTTCATCCTGCCCAAACTGTATCATAACTGCTACAGAAACATCAGATAGAATACAGGGAAAAAACCAACCCACCTGGGCAGGTATTTACTTCCTAGCAGCTATGATTTGGATGCTTCTGAGATCCTTTCTCCACTCTTATCAAAGCTGGTAGACACTCTAAACCTTTAAGTGTAATCTTATCTAGTTCAGTGCCAGTGGAACAGGAAATTTAACTCTATACTTTCTGGAGAAAGTATTTCTCAATTTCTCAATTGAAATAAGAACAAAAAGTCTTTTAAAAGAAATTGTTATCAATGTTCAAGTCCAGTGACTGCCCAGATCTGCAGAAATTCAGTGTAAGACATGTCATTTGAAGATCTGATATTTGTGTTGCTGATATATTAAATTCATTAGTGACTTCCTCCACTCTGATAGTGGTCTCTTTCCACAAATCTTTGCAGGAAAAGTGGGTTTCACAGGTTGCAAGTCTTTATTGAGACCGAGAACATTTCAACAGAAAACACATCCTAGTTGGTATGGCAAAATTTATTCAGACTGCTATTTCATTAATTTACATGTTTTAGGCAAAAGGAATCTAAAAGAAGTCTTCAGGCTTCTTTGAGAAAATACAGAACATCACCATGTTTACAGATGTGAAAATCTCTGTAAAATATTACTTAGAAACATTTAATGTGTTCTTTGGGGTTTAGCCAACTAGCAACGAAAAAAAGGAAAAAAGGCCCAACAAAACACTTCAGTATTTATACTCTAGGCCAGCAAGGCCTCAGAATCACTGAACCTCAGGGTTCAAAAGAAGCTTTTGCAGCTACAAACTTTACTGGAAAGTAAACAAACAAAACTGATGTCACTCCTGGGTCTTGCTAGAGCTGATCTTAAAAGGGTTGGCACTGATGTTCCAAACCGTTTGTTCTTTTACAAGATGCAAAGTTGTCACTTCTGTTGTCCCCTCTAAGACTTGCTGCTACTGAGCTCTTCAAGGGAAATTGCTACTAATGCAAGTGGTGCTGTCTGGAAAAAAAGAACTGAGAACATGTTGGCCTCCTTTTGATGTCAGTCGGTGATCTGGCCTCATAGGATGCCAGCTCCTCTCTATGGTGTTATAACTTATTACAGATAACAACTGGAATTAACTGTAATCTAAAAAATGATGGTCAGACTACTATAATATTGATCCTTGCTTTTATGGTCTGTTTTTAAGAGGGAGAATTCAAAGGACAACGTTTTGCCTCACAGGGAGAATATGCCTGAGGTGTACCTGGCTGAGAGGACAACAAACATGGAGTGGGATGGATGTTTCCCACTTACAGTGAGGGAGTACAACACATGCTTTATCTCAATTTTAAGTATGTTTACCTAGGGAGTGTAAATCTCCAAATCTATAGACAAAACTATTCAAAATATGCTTGCACCAAAATGTGTTTTTTGTTATTCAGTAGCAGGATTTATGCAGGCCTTAAAATTCCTAATTTTCGAATTTTAGAAGTAGTCAGTGAAAGCAAGATTTGTAGTTTGGGTGGCAGAAAAGGGAGAGGATGAGACTACCCAAAGCAGTGTACACCACACTGACATCTGACTGCAGAAGGAGTGGCACTACTACCTTGCTTGTGATACTGTGAGAATTCACGGTGCATTTAGCTTCATAACATTTAAATGTTTTGAGATGCATATATGTGTAACGTGTTTTATTATCAAATTTATTTGCTAAGACAGTTTCTTGGATATTTTCTAGTGTATAATTTAGATAAAAAGATAGAAAGGAGTAGTCACACGTCATAGGTAGTATATAAATACTTGCCAGAGCATCTCCTTTTCACATTCTCCACACTGGAGTATCCATAAGTAACCACCATTACTGAACTGTGGTTGAGAACATGAACTATTTTGGTTCATACATTCATAAAGCCATCTCACAAATTAGATGTGATCTTTGCTGCATAACTGACAGCAGGTCTTTGAGTAGTGTTTCAGACAATAGTGGCATCGAAATATGAAGTGGGGTAGGTGTTGTACAACTTTCACAATGAATTAAGAGTCCAAACTTAATTTTTTACTTCTCTTGTGACTTGTCAAAATCAAAATCAAAATCAAAAAAAATGGAGTGAAGAGCAGAGCTCAAATGACAGGTGGATGTTACTGGAATTAATGGCTCAAGCTGTTATTTCTTGTGACATAGGGGAAAAAGTAAAAGTTGGATTCTGTACTTAGCATATCAGAATAGATGCAAAGATGACCACATCACCCCAAATGAGGAAACTAATTACTTCCACCTTGCAGGTTTCTGTCCAATTTGCTCTTTTCCTGAAGCTCTCTGAAGCCACTGTTTATAGCACAGAATGTGTATGAAACTTGTGAGAATCAACAAGAGATCAGAGCCAACTCTGTCTCCCTACTCCCTCTACAGTTTTTCCCAATAAGAGTATGATTTTTTTATGTTGACCACATGGATTTCCTTAGTGCCAGATTATTCTGGAGATCTGTGAGAGAGATGGGTAGAGAGGGTTGACTGTACGGTCTCAAAATTGCAGATGTGTGTGGGAAGGCTCAGCCGTGCTTTTCATCCCAGACCATCTATTCTTTACTGACAGATCTCTGTAAACAGCAAGTGCCTTTGAAGGGATCTGTATAAATAAATTCTATTCTCTCTTCGTTTTTTAAACATGTAGGTGGTAGGCACATAAGTGATTAAATTATTAGAAATCTGTGAATTATTATTATACAGAAAGTACTGTAATGAAACCACCAATTGATTTGCATCTCAGTAAATTAATACTTGTTAAATACCTTACCATGTCGAAATCTTCACTTGTGTGTCTTTAATTTTTATCTGCTTTTGTTTATCTAGATATTTGTGTGGTCTCTATCACTATAGTGTCTGAACAACATGGAAAAATCATTAATGTAAATTCCTGTTTTATTAAGACCTTTCATGTAGTAAATATAATCTATGTCGCTTTGGAGGGTGTTTTACACTGCTGTAACAAGGACAAAGGAGCCACAGTACAAGACCAAATTAAGAGGTAGTTAATTGGTCTGTGTGACGGTCTTTGCAACTGGGGAAGGAAGATTAAGAAATAAAGGCATTGTCTGCATGAAAAAATTAGTGCTTTTTCAGTTCAAAGTTACTGACTGTTCTGTACGAACGTATGTTACAGACAGTGAAAGGGATTTTCGTGCCAAAATGCAAAGCTGTGTACAGTATGTGAAAGTACCTCTAAATTGAATTAGGGAGTGTTTGAGAAGCAGGATATGTATGACTAGGCTGGTTCTGATGCTGACACTTTATTTCTGTAAGCACTGCCTCGTAGAATGGTAGTACACCTTTGGATTTTACTAGGACTGTCTTTGTTCAAAGTAGTTTAATCCATATTCAGGGGAGGAAAAGCTGCCTTTTTCTGTCTGGTAAGAATGTTTATACCAGGAGTTAGTCCAGGGTTGGTGCTGATTTTCCTTTATGTTTACTTCCTTGTGTAGACAAACCCCGAATAAATGCGTCACACAGGAAGTCTGTGGAGTTACTCTAGGTTTATGCTGATGTAACAGGACACATGAGAGAAATTTTATGACTGTTTCTGTCCCAAACAGATGGAATACTGTTAAGTGACAGCTCCAACAGGAACAGATTTAGGGAGGTGCTGTTTTAAAGGCTAGTTAAAGAGGAATGTTTTAAAGAAAGGTTAGAAATAGCAGAAAGAGGAGTCACATTCTTTTTTCAAGTTTAAATAATGCATGAATAGTGCATTACAAGTCCACACTGCTTATAATGCTGGAATACTATCCAGTGGCCCCTGTTTTCCCTGTTTTCCCAGACTAATCTATTTAAATTTAGACTATAAGGGGAAAAGGCCAATGTCAGTACTGCTCCAAGAAGTGAGTACTGCTGATGTGTGCTGGACTTGTAGTGTGCTACCTAACCTTGGATTGTGATCTTCCTGTTCTTCCTCTGAAGTACTGAAAGAAAAACATTTGTAATACTGAAAGAACTGAGAGAAGAGACCTTATAAATGTGTTGAGAGGAATCAGTGCAGTTTTAAAGCTCTCTGTAAAAAGTGAAACACAAGTGTGGACTTTTGCCTCTCCACCTGTGTAGTAGATGTCATCAAACTTTCCATTAGTACCATGCTGTGTTTTCCAAGAAGAGAAATGCCATCACGTTCATCCAGTTCGATTTTTAAAAATATCTCTCTGTCTCCAGCTTCAGGGGGCTGGACAAAGTTAAACACAGCAATTCAAAAGTCAGATCCATTAGCCAAGATGGAATTAGACTTTCTGCTAAAAGAAGAATGATGAAAATTACCGTCAGAGTGAACAGACTGAGGCTTTCTTTTATTTAGATATTGTAGCTTCTTAATATCACATATTTCCTGAATAGATTTCACTGGATAGAATTTATTTTTTCTGGCCTAGCATTTCCCTTTCTTTAATAGCCTTATGTTCCTTTCTGTATGATGCATTAGATACATTAAATAATTCTATTCCATTTTCTAATCAGTATTTGTTAGCTTCCAGGAGTCAGATCTCATTGCTAGGCAACTAAACAAGAAATCTCCATCTTTGTGTGAAGCAGTTTGCTGTATCCATGCCTGACTTGTGCTTATCTATACATATATCTATAAAATTACATAAGTGCAGCTGTAAATGGTGAGTGCAAACATGCTGCATATATTAGACCTATTGAATTTATCTTGAAACTGAGTTGTCAATAGTCCAAACAGCTTGGAAAAAGGCACATATTTTTACCACTGTGTTTTTAGATCTATTTGCCCCACATGCAACTAACTTAAAGGGCAGCCTTGGTGCTGAAAATTACTTCTGTGTTTTGGGCTACTAAAAAAATACAGATTTATGTATTAATTACTACAGTCTTTCTACATCAGGATACTTCCCTAATTTTATTAATGCCTCTGTAAGATTTTGATTATTGTGATTCTCTGTTTGCAAGTTTTCCAAAGGAATTATGAGACAGAGGAGTTAGTTTGAAAACCAACAGCAGGGCTTCAGCAGATCATAGTGACAGCAGTCTTTCTGCACTTTTAACAAAACTTATAGATTTAATAATTTAGTGAGCTCCTATCTGCCATCTTGGTGCTTGATTGCATTTCCACTGCCATCCAGTGTATTTTGTTGATCTTCTAATAATATATCCTCTGTAACATCATAGCCTTGTTACTACAGGTTTTTTGTTATTTTCTTCAGCGTAATTTTTGTTGCTAGAGTATCACTGTTCTGCTATGGAGGAAAAGGCTTCTGATGTCACACACTGGCATGACCTTTTTTTTTTTAAATTATTTTACATTGATTTTTAACCAGCTCAGGTTATGCTTTTAATATATCTGTTCCTACGCGTGATGTGCCAGGGTCAGTTTTGGAAGTGGAGAAGTAAGGTCTGAGGGGGTGTTTCCCTGGATCCACACAAACACCTCGAGGAGACCAAGGTGAGGGAGAGGTGACGCTTGCAGGCATTGCTGCTGTCACCACCCTGTAGATGGTGACTTGCCTGGCTGGATTAATTTTCCAAGTAAAAGCTTTGGAGAGAGCAGGCCCCTTCCAATACGCGTTTCTGCGTTTTTGACTACTCTTTAAACCAGCTGCTGATCCTCTACTGAGGAGCTACAAAAGGAGTTTATGGATACTCCTTTTTAAATTCTGATTGGCTCCTATAGGTACCCCCAAAGGTGGTTAGTATAAATAAAAGAGCTGAACTGATCCATTTTCTGTTCTAATTTTGGTTCAGCTGTGATTAAAGTTGTTCCGCTGTCCTTCCTGTTCAGATCAGAAATAGATTGGTATCTGACTCACGTTAACAAATACAGCATTTAAAAATAGAAATGATCGCATGCTGTGGGTGATCCCATGGAGTGGGGCTTCAGGTGAAGGGAGGGTTTAAACTCTCTTTTCTGCTTTGCTGTCATAGCACTGCTATTATTTATGGCTCCCACACGGCACCACTGCTTTTCTCACCTCTTCAATCTCACTCGCCATGTTTAGGGCCTGAGGCAATCTGGCAAGTACAGTTGAGGAGATGGAGAAATGCAGTGGTTGTCTTTCATACTGGTGGTTCGGTTACAAATTTCAGTTTAAATCCCAAGTCAGTCGTGGAATCATTAAGGTTGGAAAAGACCTCCAAAAGATCACCAAGTCCTAGCACCACCACAGTGTTCACCACTAAATTACTAAACCATGTCTTCCACTGCTACATCTGACCAAGCTAAACCTACTATAAATATTGTTTTTAATATAATGTTATATTATACTTGTACCCCAGCTGTTTTCTTTTACTGATTCTAGCCAGACTTTTTTTTTCTTGTAATAGGAGAATTTTGTTGCAGAGAAGTTAATTCTAAGATATTACAGATGGAAGCAGGAAAATGGTAAGTTATTAAATAATTACAAATAGTACCTGCAATGTTAATAATACTTTTGTCTTTTATGCCATTAAAAAAATCCTATATTTTTGTGAATTTAGCTTGTTTTCACTAAAAAAAAATGCTGTAGATTTCGATTTCTTATGGGACAATTTCTTATAGGGCAATTTTCTTACAATACATCACCAAATCTCTTGATTATAAAAACTTGTATCTATGGGGTCAGGCAATTGGACTAGGTGATCATTCCAACTTAAGTATTCTATTCTATTCAATACATTTATTTTTCTTTTTTTTTTTTCAGAAAAAATGGGGTTATTTTCAAGAAACAGTTCAGTCTTCTAACAGAGCTTGTTCATCCACCCTCCTCAGCCTTTCCCTGATAGTGCTTCAAAAATAGCAAAACCCATCTCAGTCATGAGCTTGTATCTAGACTAAATAAGTGCATTTTATGAATCTATCAGATTCTTAGTTCTCTCTCACTGATTTAGCTGTGATTTCCAAACTTCTGCTTTTTACAGTGCTTCAATGGAGACTTGAAGTTGTTTGCCACAAAATATTCTGAAATAAATACATAGGTTTTTAAACTTTAGGTAAAATGTGTTGTAGTCACAGGATAAGCATGACAGCATGATAAAAAGAAGTATGTAAGCCACACATTCGGGATATTCATCTTTGTACATGCAGATAACATGCTGTGGTTGCTGGAACTTCGAGTTTCCATCTTGAACTTCCTGACATACGTGAATCTAGCTTGCTCCATTCCTCCTATGCAAACAAAAAGATCTATTTTTAAAATCATTAAATCAAAGGAAATTTTATTAAGAGGAAAGCTGAGATGGAAAAAGGAAATACATCCTGCCGTGCATAATTTGGCTCCAGCCTACCCACCACCCTGAGCTAATATTGTCGGCGTCTACATCAGCGAGTGGTGCAGTGCAGTTAGAGCCAGTTTGTCTCTGGTGCCAAGAACCTCATGTCCACACTGTATGTGAGTGGGTGGAAAGGAGGGAATGTGCTTTGAACTAGCTCCAGTTTGCTCCCAAGAACTAAAAGTCCAGTAATAGCTGGAGCACGTGAGATGCTCTGTAGAGCTTTGTTTCATTTGGGGGGATATCTGGCTGTACTCTCTGGTCTGGGCTGTGTGAAACAAAGTAGGGTAAGAGGGAATGAACAGGAGATTCCCTTCAAAAGCATACTCCTGATCTGGACTTACAAAAATGCATCCGTTGGCTGGATGGTTTGAAAAGCAAACATATAAAATCTGTAGGGGCTGTATATACAGTCAGTACAGACTGTAGGGAATTAGTGCCTTCTCCCCTTCAAAAATAAGTTCTCTCTATATTCACTGATGCTTAAAAGAATTAATTCCAGTATATATTCTCTGTTCTAGGATGAGAGAGGGGGAAACATGATAGATTATAAGGGCGTTCCTAAGGGAAGCTACTTGTTCATTTAATAACAAAGGACTGTTCTGGTAAGTGATGACATCCTGTTTCATAACTAACGTGGAGTGTACATGGGCAGAAACATGTCTTCCATATATGTGACTTTACTATTTGAAAGCCTTCACTATTTACCTTTTTCTAAATCTACAACTAAGACAGCATTCCCTGATTTGGAATATTTTTATTCTTCATAAAATGAAAACTGATGAATTGAAGACCTTGCATGAAACCCAGTACACTGCTTAATTCTATAGCAGTGCAATTCTAGTTGCAGACAACACAGGAGACCATTGCTACCTTTATTCTTCTGAGCCTGTTCTGTTAAATACTGCAGCAGTGAATACAGAGAAACGTGATAGTTCTGTAATAATGGTGGAACTGAAGAAGGTTGTGTAATTCAAACACTTGTGAAATTAGCAGAATTATGGATTTCTTGCCAAGTCTTGCCTTCTGAGGCTGTGATTGTTTACAGGAATTCTAGCCCAGAAGCCCGTGAGGAAAGACGATATGAGGAGGCTGATGCTGCAGCCTTTTATTGAGATGAAGCAGGACTTGCTCCGAGCAATGAATATATTCATTTTCCCGAGACAGCCTAATAATGAATTTCTAAAGCAGGATGGAATTGAACTCTACATCTTAGTGTTCAAACTGTTTAAAAATCTGTATGCACAGTGCTTTATTGCACTTGTGTTTGGTGTGGTTCTCAGTGGAAACCAGTCACATAGTATATACCACCCAGGTAAAAACACTAAGACAGGGGCCGTGGTACTTTTTACACAGACTTTGCTTAAAACAGGTAATGGATCAAGTGAGCAGAGGTAATGAGCCATGTAGAAATTTGTTGCCAAATCCTTTACAACCCTTAGCGTGATAGCTACAGCATTTATGTAGCTTTAAATATCAGTATTGTTTGCTTTATGTAAATACATAACTGAAAAGCTGTATTTTAAAAAATACGTGTAAAATGAGCATTCTTTTAACTCAAACTTTCTCTCCCTTTTTGTGAACCACTAGATATTGGTGTTCCCCATGTCCTACTTCCTTCAGCACTACATCAGCATGTCTGGTGGTCAGTGGGAGTTTTGCCAGAGTACACTCTAAAGCAGGTTTTGGCAACCCATGATTGCAGATTATAAAAGGCTGGCAGCAGAGTTAGCATGAGGTTAGGAGCCATAACACTGAGAGAGTTGGCTAGGAGAACCAATATCTCCTTCAGAACTCAGCAGAAGCCCTGGAGCTGGGCACTGCTGTCATCATACTGCTGATTTTAAGATCACATGGTGAGCAGCATTTCATTTGTTAGAATTGGAGGCATTTTTAAATTCTGATAAGTGTCAACACTGTCAGCCTCTTATTGGGAAGAAAAGAGTAGAGTGTAGCATAACACATTTGAAACATCTCTGCCCCCTGACCATTTGAGGTATCTTACTGTGAACATCTTACTGTGAACATCTACTTTTTAATCATATTTTGGGCACGAGTAATTCTAACCACTGCTTGATTAGTAAGTGCTACTTGGTACCTCAAGGTACGGCCTTTATTTGTTTATTTTTTTTTAAAGGCTACAGCATATGTAAGAATTAATTAATTCCCTGCAGGTTTTTGAATTCTATTTAACTCTCAATCTGATTTTCTGGACCTTTCTGCATGTTCATATGTATTCAGAAGCTAAGCAACTATGGCTAAAAAAAAAAAAAAATCACTGAAAAATACCAAATTTCTATTTCCCTCCTCCAACCTTTCATAGGATACCTGCAACAGAGAGAGTTAGGAATTTTACTACCTGCTGATTTGAGACCCAGAAGAACAAATAGCTACGAAGCATTTTTTGCCTGTGTAATCTTTGGTCATTTTTATTGATTGCAATGAAACTCAAAAGTATGTTTCTTCTGAAATCTTTTGAAAAATGGTGGCTGTCAATACGCATTTAAGGCTGAAACATCTATCAGCAGCACTGTAAGGATGGTGAATTAGTTCTGTTGAAGTACCTGTGACACCTCTGAGAGCTCCTCAGTGTGTCCAGTGGTGAATCAGGGGCTGCTTTCAAATTTTGGATACAGATGGAGGACAAGAATAACGAGTTCTGTGTGATGTGTCAATTTATGAGCAATGAGTAAGCTCAAATGTGCAGGTTAAAAGCACCTTTTCTGAGAAAGCAGCAAAGAAAGAAGTATAACATTATGTACTAAATCTGACCCCAAAATACTCACCTTTACAAAAATTATTCACTGAGAAGATCTGTAGAACTCAGAGAGAGCTTTCCTGGGGAAAAATTATTAGTGCTCGAGTATAACTTCACTAGTTTCATAAGGTTGTGATCTGACTATTTTGTTCCTTGAAAGTTATTTAACTTCAAATACAATTGGCATTATATAGTTGGATAATTACAAGTAATAGCAGAATCATCACGAAAGGTATATGATAAGCAAAAGAAAACGTATTAGGTCTGCAAACTATAGCATTTAAAAATAGGAAATGCCTCAGAATTTAAATTACCTGAGAGGAATTGTTTGATCTGAAAAGCAGGCAGTATCAATAAGTGAGATCCAGAAAAAAAGGTTTCAACCCAGAGGATTTCTGTTTATTGAAATCTGGGTGAGTGCAGTTGAAGAGATGACTCTGAGATACCCTCAGGACAGGTTACACACCTGCCAGACCATCCCTTGGTTCATGTGCAGGTGCAGGTGCTGCTCAAAGGCACATCACTGGCTGTACCCTGGCCAAAGGAACTCTTGTGACAAATGGAGAAAAGTAAAGGCAAAGTAAATTTCTTGCAAACCAGGACACATTTTCTAATTGCTCTTCTGTGTGTATTTGCAAGTGGCTACTAATTGGGAGGGGGGTCTAATACAGATGTCATTGCAGTTTTCAGAAGTAGTCAAGTTTTCAGAAACAGTCAAGATCATGGAAAGTTGAGGATTTTGAGTAGTTAAGGAAATTATCTCAATATTTTTGGAAATCAGCTCCTGCATATGAGCCTACTACACTTTAAAATCCAAATTTCACTCACCTCTGAAAGTTTTTGCCCAATCTTAACAGATTGACTATAGCTTATATTGCCAAAAGAATACATTCTTATGATTGAAGAACTCATGTAGACAATGCTTTTTTTTTTGTCAGTAGACATTGTGTTGTCAAAAGAAAATCTATTTTGTTCTTCCTTTATTTTATTTTCCTTTAAGGTGATATTTGACATCTGTCAAGTTGAAGGTCCTGCACAAAACTGAAAGTTATTTTACCAAAAATAATTGATTTCCAAGTGCATGGTCATGTTTATGAAGTCTTGACAAGAACATTTTCATTAATTTCTATTCTAGAAGCCATCAGTGCATATTTAAATAAATTAAAACAAAACAAAACAAAACACAGCAAAAAACCCATGCGTAAAGAATAAAGACAGGTATGTTCAGGTAATTCATACAGATTATTCTTATCAATTTGCTTATTATATTATGTACAGATAATTTGTGAAATCCCTTGAAGCAGAACAAAAGCTTTAAAGATACTCTTAAGATCTAATTGATTATATCCATAAATGTTATCATTGAGGAAGTAGAAAGCAATTTTACCTGAACTTTACCTCCGTGAATAGTTGTTGACAAAGGGCTCTTCAGAATGAAATGTCACATCTTCTTCCTGTGGCTTGTGATAAGTCATTCAATCCAAATGCGAGGGTGACTAATTTTTTGTTAGGAAAGAGTTTATTGTGTCTACATGTCCAAAGGTTTTTCAGCTCTCTGTGACTCTGATGGCACAATATGTAGTGGAAATAAAGGAAATTGAGGTAATATTTGTGCCTGCTAATACAAACACAGCTGTACCACCTCTTACTAGTTGGGTAAATGCTCCGTCTGCAAAGTTCAGATCTGGAAGTAAATATCAAAGATGACCAATGTTAAATCAGTTGTTTAGATTAGGCCCAGTGTTTAGTTTGGTTCCTACCATAGTTTTCTGTGCTGACATCGACAATCCCCACTCACATAAAACCAACTTAAACAGATAGTTCTTTTGCCCCTACACCTCAATAAAATAAACTCAAAAAGCAATTTTCTTTTGTCAAATACAGTTATAACTTTATGGAGGGAATTGCTGCATAAAACTAAGTAGGGTAGTGATTTTCTTTTTGTCATGGTTTTAGCCAGCCTTTCTAGGATGGCAGAAGCCTTTACTTGTAGATCAGGCCTTATTTAGGATTTTTCGAAGATTGGATTAATTTATTACAGTACGTAAAATAAATGTAATTTTGACTCATCCTGTGTATAAATAGCTCCTCTAAGGTAAGAGATTTTTCTCAATTACTCAGATTACTCATATGTTTCTTGGGTTATCAACACATTTTTTATATAAAGGAGAAGGAGGATTGATTCTGACATTTTCTCAGTTGAGTGCAATGACACTTTTGAAACAGTCTCCTGCCAACTGCCTTATTGACTCAGGCATGAGATTTTCAGAAGACATGCTTACTTTAGAGACTGGTTTATCATGTTTCCATCTGTTGGATAAATATTTTTTTGACTAAGTGTAAAACCCCAGATACATGTCATCCCAGATGCTCAAGAAATTTTTCATCTGACTGCTGAAAGGCAACAAGATGAGATGCAAAATCCTTTCAAAACACCTGCCAAGCCAGACTGTACAATCCTGTCTCAGGCAACCAGAATAGTCACCTGGGATTTGGAACTTCAACTGTCCTGAGATTGAAACCAGCAATGTGTGAGATGGGGAGGACAAATCTCACTGCTGGAGAGCGTGTGATTCCCCAGCAGGTGGGAGATGTAAATCAGCAGCCTGGACAGAATCAGGAGACAGGAGGATGGCAGAGGGTTGGATACTCAAGTGGGTGTCCTCTGCAGCCGAGTGCCAGGAAACCTGACCTCAGGTTATTTTGGGTACTGGCAGATAAAAGCCTTTTCCTTGCTGTCTGAGCACTGTGGCTGAAGAGATTTGCTTTCATACTTTTGGCATTTTATCCTACTGGCTTTACCAGAGAGGATTGGTGAGGGCAGGTGAGACTGAAATTCCATTTTGCAAGCTCTCTTGCTGGCATGCAGAGATTTCTGTCCCTCATAGGGAGATTTGTTGGATAGACCTTGGGAAGTGTTCCTTCAGGGTTCTAGAACAGTATGTTCATTTGTAAATACTCTTCTTTTTCCCCTTACCCCATTCACTGAGATAAAATAATGCTGTGGTGGCGCATTCTTTGTAATCTTTTTGTGGCTTCACTGGAATAGATGTGGAGGGATCTGTTGCTCAAATAGAAGCCTCCTCTGCAACACCGATGTGCTTTCATTGATGCTGATTTTTATATCTGCAACACCAATGTGCTTTCATTGATGCTGATTTTTTGCTTTTCTAAAATATTGTATCTATTGATGTATTTGCCTAGGAAAAAGCAAAAACAGTTAAAGTAGAGAGTGAATATGACAGAAGAATCACTTTACATTTTTAACTACTAAACAGTAGGTTTTATGAGAGTAGGTAAAGACATTTTTTTTTTTAATTCAGTTATGAGTTTTACTTAATGTAGCCAATGGAAGACTTGGTGGCCCTATGACCCATTTTATATGGTGTGATTTTAGCCATGCAGTTTTCCCTTTTTCTTTGTCAGGGTAACCTGAAAGGAAGCTTTCTTTTGTCTTGTATTTAAGTTTGATTCTGATTAAGGCAGTGAACAGCTGTGGTCTTGCTGTAGGTTGCTGCTGTTACTTTCCCAATAACTTTCCCAGTCTCTGCCTGCAGAGTAGCAATATGAGACTGGAAGTGACTCACTGGATCACAGAATCCACCTCTCTGCTGCAGCAGGCATCACATCTCATAAATCCCATTTAAAAACAACCAAACTCAGTCTTGGAACTACTTCATCACCCACCTCACCTGCCCTGGGATTATCCTACACTGTTTAAAAAATACTGTTTGTGAACTTGAAAGGCCCCAGCTCTGCTCACTGCTGCTGGAAAATCACTTGGAAATATGATGTGTAGGTGTTTGTTTCTTTCCAGTTGCTCGTGCCAGATGCTGTTCTGGGACCCCACTGCTTAGAAACCTGAGTTCTGTGTTCAGCCTTCCTGCCTAATCGGCCTGGCCTTGGAAGGTATTACCCAGCTGATGCTTGATTGTGTGGTTTCTTGGGTTGCCAGAACTCTTCTGGGGAGGTTTGTGTCAGATATGTCTAAGATTGCTCACTGAGGTGAGTTATGGGAATGCACAAATGGATTTTGTCAGTGTATATTCTGTAAAGAATGTAGGAAGAGGGTGGAAGAGCCAGGGTTGCTAAATGTTACTGTAGGAGGGGAAGAAATGCTTGGCTTTTCTGATTATGACAGCCTGAAACTGATTACAAAAGCTTTGTAAATAAAGTATTTCAGGACATGCCTAAAGTCAGCGTTGTAGAATTCTTCTCATCCATAGGGAGGTTTTAATATTAGAATGTATTGAAAAGTAGTGTCTCTATGATAGCTTTTCTAATTCAGTGAAAAAAAGTACTTCAAGAGTGAATTTATGATTTTGTGAAAGGAAATAACATGACCCAAGCCTATGTCTTCTGGCCAGAAACAGGAAAGAGAAAAATCTCCTAAGAATTTCTCTTTTTCAGATTTTTTTTTTTCTGATTCAGAACTTCCATTGTATTCTGTAAGGAAATTCTAATTGTGTACATCCTCAGCCATGCCATTAAATTGTGCTTTGTTCCTCCAGTTCTGTATTATTTCTTGGACTGATACCATAACATCTGAATCGATTCCATAATTTATGACTGGTGTTATAACTAAAACTGGTTGCTTTATTTTTAATTTTTAAAATTGAAGTATAAGTAGATTCCACCTTCATCTGATATTCTAAGGATTTATTATCAGCCTCTGACAAGGGAAATCATATGGATATTTTTAGAAAAATGGAACATAAACCATGTAGTTCCCGAAACACCACTCTGGGAATATATTTTTTTTCATTCATGTGCTAGTAATCACAAAGTTGTTCAGGGAAGATTTTACTGATGAAGTAAGATGGGGCGCTTTCATATATGCCTTGGAGTTCTTTATTGATGCTTTCAGGTCATAGGTGCACAAATTCCTACTTTTGGTAGGATTCTGGCAAAGACAGTTTGATCTGAGTGCATAGAAGGATGAAATTCAATCCTCTAAATGGAACCATGTACTTCCAAAATTTTAAAATGGCTGCTTAGGGCTTGGTAACTGAGGAAACCTCTTCTGTGTCAGTCGTTCACCCACACCTTTGTAACAGAAATGCAGATCATCTCAATAATCCTCTCTTGTTTCTTATATCCAGCACTGGACATTGTTTCTGCGTTCACCGAGCCTGTCGACAGTATTGAATATTTTTGGCTGCAAGGGCTGCTCCCCTGTAGAAGGAGGGGTTTTGTGTGGGAAAGTTACGAGGTCTGTTCATATATTATTCTACCACATGGTGTCCTCCTAAGCCAGGTTAGAATCGTGGTATGCAGGCATTCCACCTTAAAACCATATAATTCTGTAGCATTTAGACATGTATTTATATAAAAGGTATCAATCTTGTTACAAACTAGTACTCTAATCAGAAATATCTCTGTAATTTCTTTCAGTTGCTGTGTATGAGTTGTGAACATTTCTGAGTCTGAGCATTATAAATACAGCCTCATAATCACCTGCATTGAAATCCAAAGCTTAAGAAACTTAAGCATTTTCAATTTATTCTGCTGTAATGAACATAGTCCAGCTTAGTGTTACTGGTACTGCTCACTTCTTTGTACAAATATTTTGTGCTAATTGTGTGTTTTTTGCACACAACAGAGCTACAAGTGAAACTTCACCTCTTCCTGCTCCTCTGAGCTTTTACTGTAGTAGATTTACATAGGGCATAAACTATTTACAGTAACACATATTTTACAAGGTGCCTGAATGGTAGCAAAAGGAAAATATTCCGACACATATATCTCAATTTTTGAAAGCTTGCTTGCAAATATGGCTCTTTCTGTGTCCACTAAATTAGACACTGACACTTATGTCACACTGCAGGGCTTTCTTCTCATATGGAACTTAAGTTTGACCTAAACTTCAGCTTAGGATTTTTAAATGAACCTGTTCTTCAGTTAAAAAAGGAGGAAATTGGTTACATAGAATATTATTAGGGAAATGAAATGAACTGTCAGTGATTGGTCCATCCCTCTCCCCTAAATACATCCAGTACTATTTAAAGTAATTATACTAATCATCACAGTGTTTAGGCACAGATAACATTCATGAAGAAAAATGAAAGTGCTGTTCTAGCGCGCCAGTGAAATCTGCTTTGACAAGTTAATCCAGTATTTGTTTAATTAAACAATGGTAATAAAATATTTAATTGCGCTTTAAGATTTCTGTTTCTGTCATCCAACCAGGCAGAAAATTCAGAACTCAACGTATGTCAAGCAATGAAAATGGCTCAAGCACATCAAATATCACCCTGTTTTATAGATTAATGAAAGAAGCTGAGCTGCAGCGTGCACAGGTATGAACAGTTAAATATTTAACTCCCTTTCTGCTCCTTGAGTCTGAAGCAAAAGGAAACTAAACCTCTCCTCCCCCAACCCAGTCCTGTTTGTTTCTGAGGAATGTTAATCAGCTTCCTAGTGCCAGCAGGCTACAATCACCAACTACTAATTAGTTTTAGATAATGATATTGGTAATGAGCCTTTAGTTTCTCAGAGGCACCAGACTGAGCTTGACTCAGATTTATTCAGTTATTTATCAGGAATGTTATTGTGACAAGCAGTGTGAGAAGTTGGAGCGTGTTTAATGCCGAATATTTTTCTTTCATTTGATAGTACCAACACACCATTTTTAAACAGATTTTGCTGATTTTAAATTAACTTTCCATTAAACAATGGTAGTATTTGTTTCCTTGTAATTCCAATTGTTTGATTACTCTCTTGGATATCTTTACTACTCAGGCAGTTATCTAATCACCTGAGGTTAGAACACTTAATTGGGGAAGCTTTTTAAATGAACTTCCTGTCACATTGCCTCTCCAGGAGATCTGTGTCTGGTCTAATGCAAAGGCTGTTATTTTTGTAAGGCATAAAATTCTCTGATAGATATTCCAAGAGTGAAGTTGTAATTTGTTGGAGCTCCCAGCTGTGAGGGGGAAAGAGAACAGCTCAGTCTCCCCTCCATGGAGAGCTGTTGCTACGATTGTCAGGTGTGTGGTTAATTCGTACATTCCAAAAAGTTATCCTCAAAATACTTTTCAGCATTAAGGCAGAGAAAAAAATACCATTATCCAGCAGATGATAACAAATATTGTGGAATGATTTCATGCCCGGAGCTATAGTAGGAAGGCATAAATGAGACATTTCAGCACCTACCTGAGGATCTCAGTTTGGTACCACCTTTCGACCTGGTAAGTTTACACGGGAGGAGAATTGTGTTTAGTGGGTGGACATGTGGGAAAATGGCACACCTGCTTCCTTATGGCATTGTGTATTGGAAGTGAAACTACAGAAGGCAGAAATGTAACTTACGTGTTTCCTGACATCCTGTCTCCGCTTCTGCTGAACATTGTAGGACTTACTTGACCATTAATTCCTTAAAAACACCAACCCCCTGTCAGAAGATTACAGTGGAAGACTGTGGCATATTGAAACATACTGGATTTTGTGCTCTTTTTGTCTTTCCATGGCTATGTTCTGTTTATATATGTTTAGTATCTTAGAGCCTGAATCTTATTCCTGCTCCCAAAAGCTTGCACATTTAAAGGCATAACTTCTGGCAAATCTACTTGTTTAAGTTGCAATTCTGAAAATGGTCGCAATTGCTTTCTCTCAGCATGTGTAGTCAATTTTTTTTTTCTCTTGCCATTGAAAGTTCCCCAGTATGACCAAAATGTTCTCAATTTTGACAAACTGAGCATTAGAAACCAATGGTTTTGTTATTCTTTTGTGTAAGTATGTGGTGAGCAGGCTTCAAGGCATATATAATTGTATTTATGCCATCAAGGAAATATGTGATATTTTTATATTCTACTCAATAGAGCATCTGTCTGAGAAGAGGAATATCTTGAGTTTTTGTTTTGGCTTCCAGTAAAGTTTCTATCACTAATAACAAATGTAAAAATTAGTAATGAGGTGCTGAGCTGCACTCTCATATGTGATCCTTCTACCTGTCCCAGGAAATCTCAAATTATTTTCCTCACAGCAGTGCAACTTTAGCTGAATGTTTTAGAATAGTTTTCCTCTTGCTTCTTAATACATTCTCTGGGAAGATGGAAGACATGAATTTGAGCTCCCTCATTCTGAGGAGAAACCAAAGTTGAACTTTATGTCATAGATGATTACTAGGCTCTTCCATGAACAGCACCAACTACTTTCCCTTGAATTGTGTTTTGCAACTCTATTTCAAATAAAAAAAATACATTCTGAATGTTTCAGCATCATAACCAGGCCTGCTGAAGGCTAAGGATATCGGGATATATCAGTTGTAATGAAAATACAGGTTATATGTAAATGAGAACCGAGGTTCTGATGGGATTCAGGTTAGCTGTGTCCTCCTCTGCTCACCAGCTGTATTCCATGTGAAATTTGTTTTAAAATATGCTTTCCATGTATCAGGATTGTAGGGAGCATTAATTTTTTTCATTTAATGTAATGGGGGGAAAAAACCTATTCAAATTATTATATTTTATAAACCCAAAAATTGTCTATAGTAGGAAAAATTGTATTTGAGGTTAATGGTATTGGAGTGTGATAATTCCTGGGTGACTGTGCATAGCTGTGAACTTTGACAATTAGGAAGAAACCTTGAATCAGGAGCGGGTTACTTTGTACGATCAGGAATGGCTTCAAACAGAAAGAGGGAAGGTTTAGATTAGGTATTAGGAAGAAATTTTATACTGCAAGTGTGGTGAGACACTGGAACAGGTTTGCAGAGAAGCTGTGGATGCCCCATCCCTGGCAGTGTTGAAGGCCAGGTTGGATGGAGCTCTGAACAACCTGGTCTAGTGAAAGGTGTCTCTGCCCATAGCAGGGGATTGGAACTAGGAGATCTTTAAGGTCCATTCCAAACCAGACCATTCTGTAATTCTATGTATCTTTTTATTTTGCATTTTCCCAAAGCTTACTTATCAAACATGGGATACATCCCAATTGTGAGATGTTGGAATCTGACTAGTGAGATCCTGAGATCACCAGATAACTTTCTCCCTAATTTTACCAGGCTCTGAAGTGAGACTGACAGGCCTGTAATTACCAGGGTCTTCCTTACCCTTCCTGAGCATAGGACAACATTTAACATTTGCCACTTTCCAATGAGCTGGAACTTCTCTGGACTCTCAAGACTTCTGAAAAATAATGGAGAGGGGTACTGCAATATCATCAGCCAGCTCTTTCAGTAGCCTGGGGTGAATCCCATTGGGCCCCATAGGAGATGAGGATGAAACAGAACAGTTTGGTTCTACTCCCAAGGGTCAGCTAACTTTCCCTTTTCTGCTTGGAAGCATATAATGCACATGGACATTTTTTCTATTTATGCCACACCAATTTTCTGCTTCCTTTTATCATGGAAATGTGGAATGATTGCAGCTTACCGAGGTGACAATAACTGTGAACTTGTTGAGTGCAAAGCTGCTGGTTTCTCATTTAGGCATGCCATGTTGTTGTGCGTCACACAACATCACCCACAAGAGGATTATGATGTGTTTAAATGACAAATCCATCACTCTGTGCCAAGCTCCTCATGACTTGAATTTCTACACTTGTTTGTCAGAAAAACCTTAATGATGGTGATTTAAATTTCAAGTCCTCTGTGGGCTTCTGTTCTCTTCAGCCTGTCTGCTGTGTGAGAAGTGCACATCGTGAGTTTGTCAAGCAGGCAAAGGCAATATTGTTTTACAGCCTTTTAACTTTTTGGAAAAAAACCCCAAAAACCAAACCAAAATTCTGTACAGACATAAGGCCAGTGAACTTCTGAGGGTAAAGTTATCTTTGAAGTTGGAAGTATGACAGAGCGATGTAATAGCAAGCACTGCTACTTGGAGGAATTCTGCTGGCATTTATTCTAAAGAACCTATTTCAGTTGACTCTTAAACTTGCTTTAGTGGGAAATTAAAAAAAAAAAATAGTAGTGGAGCCAGGAACATATTTTATAAATATGAAAAGACAAAGGAATTAATAGATTGTTAGTCATATGAATTTTGATATCCAAAGAAATATTGTATGACGTACAGAAAAGTAAGGTTTCCATTAGAATATTTTCTAATGATGAAAAGGGAAACTATTAAAGAGATTTTGAAACTGTTCATCTGAACCTTGCAAAAAACACAAATCAAAAAAAGGGGAAAGAATTTGAATTCCTTTAACGGAAAGTTAAGAGTTAGTCTAGCAATGGGGTAAAGTTTGCACTAATACTGAAATTGCTGAAATGTCTTTGGTTGCTTCAGCAATCCAAAATGGAGGGAGCACTTCAGTTTTGCAGACTGAAGATTTGAATTTTAATAAGTTTTCTTCTACAGAGAATCTTGAGGCAGATGTCATACAACATGAGATGCTATACTTTTTTTTAAAATGAGAAGTGCAAAATAAAAATGAATGCATTAATCCAAATTAAGACCAAGGGAATAGAACTTAATGATTATCTGTAATTTGTTTTGGAATTATATCCTGAAGTTCTGTTATAGCCAGGTGACATGCTCACAGTTAAAGGCAGTTTTGTGCAACCTCATATAAAACATTTTGAAATGTAATTTTAGAGTGGTTGAAATGGAGATGGATGAAGTTGATTTGCCAGTGCAGTCTGGAAGATATATAGATGTTCAAGCACCAGCTCAAGTGGAGCAGTAGTTGTGTCCAAGTTTATGCCGTGTTCACGTATCAGTGTTGGTTTTATGGACCTGTAAAGGAAGCCAGTTTTTCAAAACATCCACTGTTCAACTCCTTCTGAGGCTTGTAAGGCAACTTTTAATGCTGCCTCTTCTCTTTCTCTTCTCTGTCCTTTGTAAATCTTATAAGTCGTGTTCTCTTCCCTCAGTCATCATACCCTGGGAGTTGCAGATATTGGAATTAAGAGTTGTAAAGGAACGTTGTTTGACTACCCCTTAAATAAAACAAAACCACATCAAAAGAAAAGCAAAAAAAAAAAGTGTCTTCATGAGTTGACTAAGAGGCTAAATAAATTAGGACTTTGGCAAGTGTGGCTTCCTTCCTCCACAAGATAAAATGTTTTGGGTTTTCTCTTTTCGCGGTAAAGCACTGTGCAAGTGCAGTGCAAATCTAAATCAGAGTGTAGTGCAGATATACACTTTCTACACCTATTTTTCAGGAACTCCTGATGATTCAAGTTGTTTTCCTCTTTTATGTCATAGTAATATGAAATGTTTTGACCATTCTCCTGAAATTGGGTGGTCTAAGTCAGAATTTCAGCTTTTGATTAGACAGGCTTATCAAGTGTATGTGAATATATACACATGTAGGCCTCTCCTATGGTATAGCTCTGTGCAAAGAATGCAGCTTAAAATAACAGTTATGCAGTTATGCTAAAACTCCATTCAATAAAAAATACTCTGTACATGTCTGTGTATAAATAGCAAATAATTAGTTATACTCAGAATAACTCATTAAATTTCCATTTAAAGCCATTAAGGTTAATCTGGGCATTTAAAAGGTCGTTATCAAGCAATTAGCTTACTTTCTGTTGAGTATTGGATTTTTTTTAATTGCATCTGAAAGGGGAAATTGCAGTGGAAGAAACTTGCAGACAAAGCAACAAAAATAAATAAAATTACTCGCTGTCTGATGAAAGAACCCTCCAGAAATGAAGATATGAATTTCCAAAAGTAGGGCTTGCTTTCTGATAGCCTGTTCTTTCCCCTCCCCCCTTAGCTCTGCAGAAAAATTATGTTTCTGTCCCTTTTCATTTCCACTGTGGTTATGTCACAGAAGACCAAATTATTTCCGGAGTGACGAGATGGGGGGAAAAAGAATTTACTTGAAAGACAAAGTCCTTATTCAAGCACTAATTACCAAGTTTCAGCATTCTGTGCTGGAATGAAAGATAATGTCTTAAGCTCCCTGTTACTCAGCATCATCAGGGAGGTGTCCCTGCCCTTTGCAGGGGGGGTTTGGGACTAGATGGTCTTTAAGGTCCTTCCCAACCCTTAACATTCTGTGATTCTGTGATGTCTGTCATGTAGAGTAATTTGTGTTCTGCAATGGCTGAACAGTAAAAGCATCCCAAGCAGTGGCTGCTTTACCCAGTTTGACTTTTTGTGTAAAATAACCAGCAGAAGATCAATGATACCGATATTTTAGTTGTATAAACCTTCTGAATTATCATGGTAGTGAAATAACTGGGAGTGTACAAAGTCAAAGGGACAGACCTTTTGGGGTCACTGGAGGTTCAGTCCATGTA